TCATTGGTGCTTAGGATAAGATGAGTATCGGTGCTCATTAGATCATTTCTGTATATGTATATGTATATATATATATCTTCTGTACACACAGCATCTCTCAAAAAGGAAATATTTTTAGATTTAAAAAACGAAGGAATTTTCCATTTATACAGAAATGGAATTGCCAGAAATTTTCCAGAACACTCACATGGGGTGGGCTCCATGTGAATAAAATATTGCAAAAAAAGAAAATGGACCCCACCTGTGTGTGTTATGTTGCAATTCTGTATATATATATTTTCTGTACACACAGCATCTTTCAAAAAGGAAATATTTTTAGATTTACGTGTAATATTATTTTATTGGAGAATGTGTGATTGATAAAAAAAAAAAATGAATTATAATTTAATGAAGAATAATGGGGGCCAAACGGGGCTTAATGAGGGTAATTTTATTAGAATCACACTAGTTTGTTATAAGGTACATTGAACCTGGACACACCCAATGTTTGCCTATAAATCCCCTTCAGTATCAAACGTTTTCCTCGCCAATTGATCGTGTGTAATCGCCCATATACTTCCATTAATTTCTCATCTTTTAGTACAAAAATGGCTCCGACAATTGCGGTGTCCTCCGCCTATACGAAGCCGCACCACCGCATCGCCGCTGTGTCTGACGGAGCCGAGGTGTTGAAGAAAAGAAACGAGGAGTTGGAGAAGGAACTGAAAATGAGTCTGGAGAGGGAGGAGAAAATGAAGCAGGAATTACAAAGAACATGGGAGCGGCTGAGAGTGGCGGAAGAGGCGGAGGAGCGGCTGTGTTCCCAGCTCGGAGAGCTCGAGGCGGAGGCGCTCGATCAAGCCCGAGATTACAGGGTCCGTACGATGTCGTTAATGGAACAACTTTGTTCTGCACAGAAACTTCTTCGGGAAGCTTCAATTTCTCTCCCCAATCCTCAATTTAAATTCAACCGCGCTTTAAAGTGACTTCTAATTACTTTTTCCTACTGTGAAAATAAGCAGTTAAATAGGCTGTTCGATCTTCAGTACGGTTAAACATGCTTAAATTTTACTTTCTTTATAGTTTGAGATTCTGTAATAGTTTTTTTTCCCCCTTGTTTAAATCCATTGAAGGTTTTTTTTTCCTTCTTTGGGAAATTTCCTCTATGCTGGCTAAATTGGAGTTGTGCATTGATTTTTTATTTTTCTTAGTGGAAATGAAAGATTTTTGGGTTATTTAAATTCATAGT